GTTAAAGCAGCGACAGTTGTCATTTCAAGTAATTGCATTCGTATTCTGACATACACAACAGGAGCAGAAGGTGCTCCTTTGCAATAATCAATACATACAAAACAGGAGCAGAAGGTGCTCCTTTGCAATAATCAATAATGTGTTTCCATGATGTCCACATAAAACTAGGAACATTATATGCTCGTGTATAAGATTTCGCAATACAATGCGAAACAAATATAGGAGCAACTTTGCTCGTGTTGACTTCTCATGAACATATTATCCCAATGCCCTTCCTACCTCAAGAGCCCAAACTTCTTGACTTCTGCGCTGAGCAGGTACAGTTTCCTCAACCAGGCGCCATGTGGCAGGTATGGGGATCCTATATTGGGTTTTAGAAAAATATATAGGGTTAAACCTAGGTTAAATTTAACCTTGGTTTAACCTAGATTTAACCTTGGATTTAACCTAGATTTAACCTTGATTTAAAAGGAAATCTAAAGGAAAACCAAGGTTAAATCTAGGTTAAATCCAAGGTTAAATTTAGGTTAAATCTAGGTTAAATTTAACCTTGTTTTAACTTCTCATAATTCTATGTAATATTTGTTTGTATGGTGATGAATGTTTGGGTTTTCATCGTAGGCCGGGTTTAAAGTCTGAAGCTCATGGTCTAAGGTAGAGGGTTGGGTTCAGGGCTAGGGCTCAGGGTCAGTGTTGTTGCAATTTGGGAATTGTGGGGTTGACATATACTGAAACGAATTACAAGTTTAATGTTTTTATGTTGGCGCTGTAGCATTTCAGGTTCGGGGCCCAGGGTCTAGGGTTTATGGTTCAAGGTTAACTGCGGGGTGTAAGGTTCAGAGTTAGGGCTTTAAGGCTTAGGTTTAGGTTTAGGGTTTAGGGTTTAGGTGAACCCAATCCCCCAATGCCTATATGGTTTACATTCTTGAGCCTCATATGTTCTTCTTATAGCTGATATCATGTGACATGACTATGTTGGATCTAAGGTTTAGTGGTCACCATGTTTGGAGTTCGTGGTTTAGGATTTAACGTTTGGGGTCTATATGGTGTAGCTTTCAGGATACAGGCCATAGGTCCCAAAACATGTGCACTCAACCTTGAACCCTAGACCTCAAACACCATACCCCAAATCCTGAACTATATACCCTGCGTTGCATGCTGTTGAGGAGATTATCATGTTCAGCTGGATTATATGGTTGTATGATATCAACTTCCGGGTTATGCAATTTGTTTATTCCCAAGGGTTCATAATTCCAGTACCATTACAATAATACACCTCATATCCCCGTCGCCCCTGTATAACCAATTGCCAACACCTTGGGCAGCCGACTATAACTGAAGGTCATTGGCCAACTATGGCGAAAGGCACACTGCCGGCACCTTATGTAAAGTACCAGCTTCAAAGTGTGATGCGATTGAAGCATGCCATCACGCAGCACTGCAGTCCCATGTGATGGAAGTCGGGCTCAAGCATGCCGCGCGAGAGAAGCCGCACCCCTGAGCGAAATCAGGCTCGCTGGGCTTGGCGCTGGAGTCGCGTCGAGGAAACCCCGAAAGCCACGCAGCAATAACCAAACATTTTTTTTGTAATCGATTTTCAAATTTTTGCTCGAAGGTTTTTCATTGATATAGTAGCATGCTCAGGATGACGCGCAGGCAACGCAGCAGTCGCAGGAAAAGCGACCCGAGCAGTGGGTGAAGCGCTGGTTCCTGTGGCGCCCCAGCGACTACAAGGAGAAGAAGTGAGAAACGCCCGTCCAAAGTGTATAGTTGTTTTAGTTCTTTCCCGTCACGCCAGTGGCCGGGACGAATTGAGCTGCTTGCAGGCTGCATTCCTGCGAGCCAGAGAGCACGGAAAAATGCCTTCTGAGAATTGCTGATTTGCGGCGCAGCTCGATCATGAGCGTGAGCAACGAATTATTGATTTTGGTTGTCCGCTGAGGCTCCGCATCTCCATGGTTTTTGTCTGGTCATCCCGGCTTGTTTACTCGAGGAGCACTGTGCTCCTGTTGCTTCGCATCATAGGGAATGCTGGCATCACGGCCACTCACGCGCGCTGCCTTGCTCAGCCGCAGCCTTCTGGCCAGCAACTCCGCTCCTGCCTGCTCTCCCAGCCGCGTCTTGAAGGCATGGCGCCCAAAGTGCCAGTTAAGAAGCTGACAAGGAGGCCGCAGCAAAGGCCAAGGCGGCCGCGAACAAGAAGAAGGACCAGGCCAACATGGTCACCCAGCTGAAGGCCGGGAGGAAGAAGTTGCAGGAAGCAAAGGAGGCGGGGACTAACTTGCCTCCCGCAGAGCTTGAAGACCTGGAGCGGCGTGACAACTTCCTCAAGGAGTACGAAGCCCTTGGCTTGTACAACCCACGCAAAACAGAGTTGTTGCTCCAGTGGAAGCAGGACAAGTCCCTCAAGACGTGGGCGGAGGTAGACTCGTCCCACAGTACCTTCACTCGTGGGACCGACCGCTCGGAGAAAAGCTACGGGACCCTGCGCCTTGGATGTATTATTTTTGTTATTTGAATTCATTTTTGAAATTCCCTGGCACACCGGCCAGGTACGACGTGGCCAAAATGATGAATCTGGACCCCAGCGACAAGATCCAGAAGAAGTTGCTCAACAAGGCCTTGGCCAAGCTGGACCAAGACTTTCTGTGGGACGACACCAACCCCTTGGAGGCCGTCTACAAGGAGGAGGAAATGGTGCGCTACTCGTGGAAGAAGAACATGGGCCAGCTCATGGAGAGCGGCGTCGAGGACGCTGAGAAAGTCCGGGCCACTAAGGACGCCGCCAAGAAGCTCGCCAAGGGAGGCATGCTGACAGACGCCGCTAGCAGCAGCTCCAACCCAGCCCCTGAAGTCAAGCTGGAGCATGTGTGGGTTCTTCCTACCAAGAACACCAAGGAAGAGATGCATGCGCTGTTGCAGAAAGCGAGGGCT